AATAATAGTGGAGAAAGTGGGCAACCTTGTCTAGTACCTTTTTGTATGTCTATAAGTTCTGTCAAATCTCCATTAATAATTATTTGAGCACATTGTTTTTGATAGATCGCTTTTATGGCTGTCTTAAATTGATTTCCAAAATTCATATAATCCAACATTTTGTTTAAAAACTGCCAGTCCAATTTGTCAAAGGCCTTCTCCGCATCTAAGAAAATAAAAGCCGATGGCACTTGATTATTCTTATCCAAATATTCCAGTAGATTTACAATTTGTCTAATATTATTCTTCATATATCTTCCGGATATAAAACCAGTTTGGTCATCATGTATATAATATTGCAATATCTGCATCAATCTATTGGCCAAAATTTTTGCAAAGATTTTATAGTCCACATTCAGCAGAGAAATAGGTCTGTAATCCTTAAGTTCCAAAACCTCCTTCTCATCCTTCGGTATCAAAGATATAAAAGCTCTTGTCCAAGACTGTGGTATTTGTTCTCCCAACATAATTCTATTAAATAATATTTTTAGGGGTTGAATCAATTCAGCTGACAATGATTTATAATAAGTTGCTGTCAAACCATCTGTACCAGGGGCTTTACCAGCTTTCAATTGTTTAACTGCATTTAAAATTTCATCTGCAGTAATCTCTTCAGGATCTGTCTTTACACAAAGAGAAAAAACAGACCAATCTATCAAAAATAGTGCCATAAAAAACAGAATAGAAACACAAGATAGGCAGGAAAATGGTAAGTAAGCACCTGTCCAGCCTGGACGAGTTCAAATCATCAGGACCAGATGTGATCTCAGAATCACTGAACTATATCTTTCAAAGATCCTGGAGCACTGGGGAACTACCAGAGGACTGGAAAAGAGCTGATGTAGTTCCTATCTTCAAAAAAGGGGGGAAATGGATCCAGGAAACTACAGACCTATCAGCCTGACCTCAATACCTGGGAAGATTCTGGAAAAGATAAACAACGAATCAGTGAACACCTAGAGGCAGTCATTACCAAAAGCCAACATGGGTTTGTCAAAAACCGATCATGCCAGACAAATCTTATAGCTGACCAAGTGACAAAATTAGTGGATCAGAGGAATGCTGTTTATATAATTTACCTGGACTTCAGTAAGGCATTTGATAAAGTAGATCACAATCTACTACTTGATAAGATAGAAAAATGTGGGTTAGACAGCATCACCACCAGATGGATTCGTAGCTGGCTGACCGGCCGTACTAAGCGTGTGGTCCTCAATGGAACTGCATTTACATGGAGGGAAGTGTGTAGTGGGGTGCCCCGGGGCTCTGTTCTATGCCCAGTGTTCTTCAACATCTTCATCAACGATTTGGACGAGGGGATAGATGGGGAACTCATCAAATTTGCAGACGACACCAAGCTGGCAGGAATAGCCAACACTCCAGAAGACAGGCTTAAGATATAGGAGTCTCTGGACGGACTTGAACACTGGGCACTATCTAACAAAATGAAATTCAATGGTGAAAAAAGTAAGGTTCTACATTTAGGCAAGAAAAACCAAATGTACAGGTATAGTATAGGGCAGTGATGGCGAACCTTTTAGAGATCGAGTGCCCAAACTGCAACCCAAAACCCACTTATGCATCGTCGGGTGCCAGGTGGGTGTGGCCCATTGGGTGGGCGTGGCTGCGATGGTAACAGCAGACTGGGTGGTCTGCTGTTGATTGATTGATTGAACTAAAAAGTTCAATCAATTAATTCCAACTTTGCAAGATCTTTTTTTTTTCCGCGAGAAGTTTTTGTACACGGCGGCGGAGGCCTAAAGCGAATAGGTTTTATAAAACCCAGCTGAAGGCCTAGGACTGGGGTGACGGCGTGTGTGCGTGCCCACAGAGAGGGCTCTTGGGTGCTGCCTCTGGCACCTGTGCCATAGGTTCGCCACCACTGGTATAGGGGTACCTTGCTCAATAGTAGTAACTGTGAGAGGAATCTCGGAGTCCTAGAGGACAATCACTTAAATATGAGCCAGCAGTGCTGCAGCCACCAAAAAAGCCAACACAGTGCTAGGTTGCATTAACAGAGGGATAGAATCAAGATCACGTGAAGTATTAATACCACTTTACAAGGCCTTGGTAAAGCCACACTTGGAATACTGCATCCAGTTTTGGTCACCCCGATGTAAAAAAGATGTTGAGACTCTAGAACAGGGGTGTCAAATTGCTGGCCCGCAGGCTGGACACATCATCCGGAAGCCGCGCCCACCCCATTGCCAGCAATGGCAAAACCATCCCGATACGTTGCGCGACATCATGTGACGTCGCGAGTTTGACATGTCTGCTCTAGAAAGAATGCAGAGAAGAGCAACAAAGATGATCAGGGGACTGGAGGCTAAAACATATAAGGAACGGTTGCTGGAATTGGGTATGTCTAGTTTAATGAAGAGAAGGATGAGGGGGGACATGATAGCAGTGGTCCAGTATCTCAGGGGCTGCCAGAAAGAAGAGGGAGTCAAGCTATTCTCCAAAGCGCCTGAAGGCAAGACAAGGAGCAACGGGTGGAAGCTAATCAAGGAGAGAAGCAACCTAGAACTAAAGAGAAACTTCCTGACAGAACAATTAACCAGTGGAACAACCTGCCTCCAGAAGCGGTGAATGCTCCAACACTGGAAGTTTTTAAGAAGAGACTGGACAGCCATTTATCCAAAATGGTGTAGGGTTTCCTGCCTGAGCAGGGGGTTGGATTACTAGATGATCTCCAAGGTCCCTTCCAACTTTTTATTATTATTATTATTATTATTATTATTATTATTATTATTATTATTATTATTATTATTATTATTATTATTATTATTATTATTGGCAGTGGAAACCTCAAATGTAGCTGTGGTATTTTCTCTAAAATTCTGAAGAGCTACTGCTAATCAGAATTGAAAAAAATGAACGGCTGTGGGAACTAAGTATTTCTAATCTGGGGTGACGTGATAGCAGTCTTCCAATATTTGAGGGGCTGTCACAGAAAAGAGGGGGTTGACCTATTCTCCAAAGCACCTGAGGGCAGGCAGAAGCAATGGGTAGAAGATCATTAAAGAGAGATCCAAGCTAGAAGTAAGGAGAAATTTCCTGACAGTGAGAACAATTCACCAGTGGAACAGCTTGCCTTCAGAGGTTGTGGGTACACCATCATTGGAGGTTTTTAAGAAGAAACTGGACAGCCATTTGTCTGGAATGGTATAAGGTCTACTTGAGCAGGGAGATGGAGTAGAAGACCTCCAGGGTCCCTTCCAACTCTGAATATTCCATGCCATCTAAGATAGATTGACATTGTTTTTTTTTCCTGTATTCTAGTTGGAAACAAAGATGATAATCGCATTACGCAAGCAGTCGGGATAAAAAAGTCAGATCTTAGTACTGTTTCAAATGCTGACAAGCACTTGAATGGAGATGCTGAAACTCGGCACAATGCCTTGTGAGAAAATTGAATTGTCCGCCTTTCCCAGCTTCGGTAAAGTATTTCCATCCACATGCAATTTTTAATAATTTGATAGACTATTAAATCCCAAACAATATTGTTTTCTCCAAACCAACATTTGTTCAGAAGTTCTATCCATTTGGAATTCTTTTCATTATTATGCTGGAGTGAAAATGGGGAGATCAGTCATTGCCTTTCTATGTGGGCAGCTTCCTTAAACATTTGTGTTCTTTTCCTCCACAACAGAGAGCCTTACAGCAAAAGATGTTGTGGGATGACTTCAGCTGCTAGACTCCATTCCTTTCTGGATAATTGCAACTGGAGCCCCATTTAGGCATCACGAACATGGAACAAGCAGCACAGTATTGACAATCTTACATGTTCGACACTCACACTGGTGCTGCAGTGGCACTTCTCAGTGGGAGTTGGGAGAGTATCTTGTCTTGGATCTTTGAATAAAGATACAGAGTTATAACCATGCTGCTAGTATTTATTTTGTGCAAAATTACTCCAGTATTAATTTGAGTCCCTAACATGGTTTCATATACCGAAATGTTTCTTGACTGGATTCTGCCTGTAAACTTCTTTTTAATAGAGAAATGTTGGTGTTGCCAGTTCTGGAACATTATAATAAAACTCCTTGTGCTGAGATAGGGGATGGGATGGGGTGGGGGGGTTAGTGGGGATCAATGCTGTCAGCTTCTAGGATGAAATGGTCTACGGCAGAGGTTCCCAACCCCCGGGCCATGGACCGGTACTGGACTACGGCCTATTAGGAACCAGGCCGCAGAGCTGGAGATGAGCGGAGAGTGAGGGAGCGAAGCTTCATCTGTTTTTGCAGCTGCTCCGCAGTTCTGCTGCCTCAGATCATCAGATACTTATAGGAGCGCAAACCCTACTGTAAACTGCACATGTGAGGGATCTAGGTTGCGCACTCCTCCCCCCCCCAGGTCTGTGGGAAAATGACATTAGCATTGGGGGGAGGGTAGAGATTGCACGTGGGAGGAAAGGAGGGCAGTTTGGGGAGGCAGGCTCAGAAAGTGAAATGCACCAATCCAGCAGCAGGTCAGCAAAGGAAGGCGGAGATGGAGAAGGCATGAACTGGAGGGTCTGTTACCCGACTGATAAGGGGGGATTAGCCAGGGGAGAAAGGGAAAGTTAATAGCATCTTTTGTGCTAAGCTGGCAGATTCCGCTTCAGTACTTCTGTACCACTTTTGCTTTCCATAAAAGATGCTCTTGGGAAAACAATGAGCCAGGAGTCTTTCTTTGCCAATCAACGTAAATGGGACGAATGACATTAAGCGGAATCTGCAGTAAGAACCTGCCTGGAGAATGGCTTCTACCCAGGTTATGCAAAGGATGTCTGCTCATTTAATGACATCAGGGAGCATGGGTGGGGAGTCGTCCACCTAACAACTGCTGCGTCATGCAACCGTAATGGACGGGCTCCATCAGTCGTATCTAGAGAAACAAACCTTTGGCCCAACTGTGTTGAAAAAGCTTTGTGCACGACCCAGGGAACCCTCAACTTGGGACGAGTCATTTAGCAATCATTCCAAGTTACAATGGACCCTCCCCCCCAAAGGCTCTTTCAACCCGGTTCCAAGTTCTGACAGCCCCCCCCCCCCACGTTCAGGTGGCTGCATTTTGGGCACTCAGCAACTGGCCTGCATTTTTGGCCATCCACCAGGTCCCCCAATCACGACTGCAATTTATAGTTTTGATGAAACAGATGTTTAGTTCTACTTTTGGGCAAAAGTTCCCCATAGCAAACAGTGGGTTCGCTTAATTGTCACCATAAAAAAGGTTGTAAAATGGGGCCAGTCGCATGATGACCCACTCTACAACCTACAGTGAGGGGAAAAAATACATTTGCCCACTGACAAATGATCAGTCTATAATTTTAATGGTAGGTTTATTTTAACAGTAAGAGATAGAATAACGACAAAAAAATCCAGAAAAACACATTTCAAAAAAGTTATAAATTGATTTGCATTTTAATGAGTGAAATAAATATTTGACCCCTTCTCAAAACCTGACTTAGTACTTGGTGGCAAAACCCTTGCTGGCAATCAGAGGTCAGACGTTTCTTGTAGTTGTCCACCAGGTTTGAACATATCTCAGGAGGGATTTTGTCCCATTCCTCTTTGCAGATCCTCTCCAAGTCATTAAGGTTTTGAGGCTGACATTTGGCAGCTCGAACCTTCAGCTCCCTCCACAGATTTTCTATGGGATTACGGTCTGGAGACTGGCTGGGCCACTCCAGGACCTTAATGTGCTTGTTCTTGAGCCACTCCTTTGTTGCCTTGGCTGTGTGTTTTGGGTCATTGCCATGCTGGAATACCCATCCATGACCCATTTTCAATGCCCTGGCTGAGGGAAGGAGGTTCTCGCCCAAGATTTGACGGTACATGGCCCCGCCCATCGTTCCTTTGATGCGGTGAAGTTGTCCTGTCCCCTTAGCAGAAAAACACCCCCAAAGCATAATGTTTCCACCTCCATGTTTGACGGTGGGGATGGTGTTCTTGGGGTCATAGGCAGAATTCCTCCTCCTCCAAACATGGCGAGTTGAGTTGATGCCAAAGAAATCGATTTTGGTCTCATATGACCACAACATTTTCACTCAGTTGTCTTCTGAATCATTCAGATGTTCACTGGCAAACTTCAGACAGGCCTGTACAAGTGCTTTCTTGAGCAGGGGGACCTTGCGGGCGCTGCAGGATTTCAGTCCTTCACGGCGTAGTATTTCCAATTGTCTTCTTGGTGACTATGGTCCCAGCCGCCTTGAGATCATTGACAAGATCCTCCCATGTAGTTCTGGGCTGATTCCTCACCGTTCTCATGATCACTGAAACTCCACGAGGTGAGATCTTGCATAGAGCCCCAGACTGAGGGAGACTGACAGTTATTTTGTGTTTCTTCCATTTTCGAATAATCGCACCAACTGTTGTGTCACCTTCTCATCAAGTTGCTTGGCGATAGTCTTGTAGCCCATTCCAGCCTTGTGTAGGTCTACAATCTTGCCCCTGACATCCTTGGACAGCTCTTTGGTCTTGCCCATGGTGGAGAGTTTGGAATCTGATTGATTGCTTCTGTGGTCAGATGTTTTTTATACAGGTAACGAGCTGAGATTAGGAGCACTCCCTTTAAGAAATCTCAGCTTGGTACCTGTATAAAAGACACCTGGGAGCCAGAAATCTTGCTGATTGATAAGGGATCAAATACTTATTTCACTCATTAAAATGCAAATCAATTTATAACTTTTTTGAAATGTGTTTTTCTGGATTTTTTTGTTGTTATTCTGTCTCTCTGTTAAAATAAACCTACCATTAAAATTATAGACTGATCATTTCTTTGTCAGTGGGCAAATGTACAAAGTCAGCAGGGGATCCAATAATTTTTTCCCTCACGGTATTTGGGCAAAAGAGCCTTTTGTCTGAGATGATCTGAGGATTCCCGCGCTGGGCCCCTTCCAACTAAGAAAACGACAGGCACCAAAGCCACCCAGTGCTCGCTCTGCCCCGTGACAGGGCCAAGGGTGCTGAAGCAGCAGCGCGACTCCTTACCACCTGCGGGACGAAATTAACAGGTCTGCCTGGTTCACGCCCAAAGGGAGGCTGATGCCGGCAGCCAGGATCCCATTCTCTGCCGGAAAGGGTGTCTGGAGAAGTAATGGCAGCCCAGGCACAACCAACCTCCATCCCCTCCCCTTATTCCTGCATCGAAGGAAAGGTAAGAGACCAGAAAAGCCAAACAGCAGAATGAGGTTTTATTGCTGCCCCCAAATCTCCCTTTTGGGAAAAGTGTCAGACCTTTCCCTATTTTTATATGGATACACCAGACAGTCTGAACCAGAGAAGGGCCTTTGGCCACACAAACAGAACATCCAACCACTGAACTCCAGAGATACAGATTTAGAATAGCAGATGACATTCTTGCTTCAGGAAAACGCTTACATTTCCTGTTGGCCTTGTAGCCTATTAAAAAGGGAGCTGCCGGTTCCCTCAGAAAGCTCTTGCTAAATTTGATGCAAGTTCTGCTCTCAACAATTAGGACCGATTTAAGCAAACGTGTTTGGTGATCAGCCCCAAATGCCTCCCGAAGCTCGGCTTAAATAACAATCCACTCACATTTGCCATACTGGCTTTCCTCTGAAGACCAAGGGTTCCCCAGCTCCTGCAAGATTGAACTCTGAACAGGAGTCACAAATCATCCTCACGGGTGGAAGTGAACCGCAGGCACATTTTATGAAACTCTACCAGGACATTAGAGGAACACTGGAGGCCTTGGGGTCATTAATGTCGGGCTGCTGAGTTTCCTTCTGCCATTTCAAACAAACGTCATAAATCTGAGCTGTGCCTTCATTCCCTTTAAAAAGCTTAATTACAGAACTGGTGGTTAGAAAAACCCACAAAAGTTGTATGTCTCTTTAGACCAGCAGCTTTCAAGGGAGTCCAAAGCTGCAAGAAGAGGCTGACATGGCTGCAGCTGGAGGCTGGGAGCAAGAAACTGGCCCAGCTTTGCGCCAGAGAGGTTGAGGCAGGGCCGTCTGTGCCCTACACAAACTCTGTGAAGTCGTCCACGGAGGAGATCAAGCGCTTCCTCTGTCCAGTTTCGTAGGTGGGGGCCGGGTCCTGGGGGACACGGACAGAGGCTTTCGTAGGGACCGGAGGATGCACAGTGGGGAAACCGGCCTCTTGGAACTGAGTTTCTTCTCGGATCTGGAAGAAAGAGATGTTGATGGCAAAGACAGGATCCATGGTGGTCGCCTCCTCCTCCGTGGCAGCCCCTGCCTCCTCCCAGGTGGCCCTGCCCAGAGACCAGCTGCTCACAAAGACCCAGCTGCTGGGCCGGTCTTTATGTCTCAGATGCACTGTCTGTCTGGGGTGTCATGGGCTCCTGCATATAATTTTGGGTTTGATCTCTGTATGCCTCCCAGGGGCAACTACAGAAATTATTTAAATCAAATAATCACAATTTTAAACACCTCTATCTTTTCCCCACAGGAGGTTGGGTAGCTATTAAGGGCAGAATCTGAGCTACCCAGGGTTGGGCTGAAAGTGAATAAACCAAGAGTGCAGTGCAAGAGGTCTAGAAGGACATGTTTCTCCCAGGACATGTTTGCCTTTGGTGAAGAAAGAGACGTGATGGCTTCAGATATCACCGGCTGTGTGGGAGAAGCGAGTGGCTACTCAAAAGGAGGGAAGAGGGTCCCTTACCCTGTGCCGGAGCCGCTTGATGTGGCGCAGCCGAGCGATCCATTTCGAGGGATAGGTGTCAGTGGGGTTGGAGCGGCTATGGTGGACCAGAGACGCCATCTGAGGAGAGAGAGAGGAGGAGCTGCCCTAGGAAGCACACCTGACTGCGGAATAAGCCAACCCAGCACAGTCCAATCTAACAAACCTAACCCCCGTGCCATACAAGTTAGGATGAAAATAGGCATCCTGGGGGCGCAGGCAGGCACTGGCCCAGCGACCCAAGTCTGGAGCCCGCTCTGCACGGAGGGCCTGATTTTGCTGGGTCAGCTGCTCCAGGAACTTAGCTTCAAGGTCTCCACTGGGTCTGGCAGCGAGTCCAGCTCCTGGCAGCAGGCCTTGTGCTCAGAGCAGGTTCCCTCCGCTTATTCAATGCTGTTTGGGAGCTCTGGAGGGCAGAGGGGGAGACCCTGAGGGACAGGAGGAAGAGCTGCTGCCAAAGCAACGGCCACATCGGAGAGACTGGAGTCTGGGTCAGAAGGAGTCCCCTCCTTAGTTCACGTAAGAGAGGGAGGGGGAAGCCCATTCAGACCTGCAAGATTCAGTTCCTAGAACTTTATGGTAAAAGTCGTCCTGACCTACAGGGCCTTGGTTTCTGAGCCTGGTCTACCTTGTAGGGCTGGCAGAAGGGGAGGTACCCTCCCACCCAAAGCAGACTCACGTTGGCATGCAGCGCCATCTGCCGGGCAACAAATGAAAGATTTTTGTCCGAGACAATCTTCACCACACTTGTGTCAATGAGCCCCTCCATATCTGGGATGGCAGGGAGAGAGGAGTTGGCATGGAGACAGCAGAAGCCCACTCAACCCTCCAGCATTTACTACATTTCATTCCACCAGCACCCGCTTTTTGATCCCGTCATGAGGCCCACAGTATTTGCAACACCCCCACACTTTCGCAAACTTGAGTGAAGAGGCAGAGGGTGGGCATACCCTTGCGGCACTGTAAAGTAAGCAGGTTGCAGTTATAATCCAGCGGTTTGATGATGACATGAACAAAGTTGAACTGGCCCTAGAAAGCAAAAGCAGTATCAGCATGTAGGAACCGGCTAAGGAGGACCACAAAGCTTTGGTCTCTTCTACTTGAGCAGTGATCACTTCTCTGGACCAACGATGTAGGTCAACCTGCTTAGGAAAGCGGTTCAGAACCCAGAGTGGGAGCAGACGCCTTGGGCCATCCCGTCCCATCCCATAAGAGCAAGGGTCCCAACTAAAAAAATCCCCCAGGGACACTTTCACTGACTCCATTCGTTCAGAAGAGCAGCAATTGGCTCGGGATCTTGCTGCCTCTCAGCCTAGAACAGCAAAGGCAACTTGCAGCTCACTCTCCCCTCTTCATCCTCTCCCCTCCTCTCCGTCGACTGGCAGAAAGCCCCTCTCGGAGGCAGAGGCCGGCCAATCGGATAGCCTTTCTCCTTACCTTGATGGTCCCCAGTTTGAAGTCTTCCCCGGAATCATTGTAAATTATGGAAACAAAGTCATTCCCCAAATGTCGTTTCTTGTCACAGCAATTTTTATCCAAATCTTTGGTGGGCATCAAAGTGGCAATATGGAAAATAGCTATAAAACAAGGAGTGAGGAAAATGGCTGCAGATAGTTCAGACCTCAAGCAGCAAAAAAAGGACCATCTGGAGACCACTACTTGGGCAGCCCAAGGGGTTTTAGGTGGCTTGCTGGATGGAGAGTAGCCATCTCACTCCACAAGTTCCATGCTTGGAGAAAAGGGCTGAGAACTGGGAAAGGACTTTGCTCAGCAAAGATCTTTCTCACTCAGTTGATCAGAAGGAACAGCTAAGTTCTGCAGAACCTCCCCCACCATCTCATGGTCCAGGAACCCAACAAGCCTCATCCTCTGAAGAGTTCCTCAGCTGGGACATCTGTTTGTTCATGCCAGCTCAAGGCAAATGCCAACATCTGTCCAGCAACTCACAGCATGGAGGTGTGAAATGGCATCGCTGTGGCTGATCCCTGTCTAGAGGGAGTTACTATGTTTCTTCGCTGCCTTGACTCGCACATCAATACAGTTACACTCTGCAAGGTTGGAATCCCGCACTCTGGAGAATCAAACGGCCCTTGGGTTCACAGGCCCTTCGTGCTTCAAAAGAGCTCCTAAGCAGCTCCAAAATGGAGGTGGAGGTGAACGCAGGCGAGAAGCTGCCTCCACCACCTCCCATACCTTGCATGATGTCGTCATGCCAGCAGTAGGTGAATTGTCCATCCTCTCCACACACGTCCAGACCGCCCAAGTAAACCTTGTCTGGCTGGCAGTCCTTGAGCTCAATGAGTTTGCCCAGGCCAGTCAGGAACTCGGTGTACCTGTAGGAGCCGTGCTCATTGGACAGAATGGTGAGCTCGTTGCTGCTCTGCAGGACAAGGAGGAAAGCAAACGCTCGGAGCAGAGCCAACGCAAGAGGAACCCAAGGCCACGCTACTGCAAGGGCTCCGTTGTTTAGTATTTATGTCTGAAACCCTCAAGCACTTTCAGGATTAACTGTGTACTCAACCGCCGCCAGGACTGTTCATGCGACTCCTGCGAGGAGAGCTGCCCAGCCTGCGGTGGAAGAGAGGTCCTCCTTCAATCCAGTTGGGCAACCGGCCCTTCCAAGGAAAGAGGCCTCCTAAAAGCGACCAGCTCCTCCAAGGAGGTTCTGCTGACAGAAATGTGACTTAGGAACATACTGTTACCAGACATGGCACATACCTGTCCTTCTCCGACATACAAGACGGCAATCTTGTGAGTGTCATATGGAGGGATCTGATCTAGAAGCTGAATGGAGTTCTCAAAGGTCTTAAAGACAAGAGTGAGAGAAACACACAGAGTCAATTTTTTTGTTTTTCTGTTAAGTTTTTAGTTAGCACTTTAGTCTTTTCTCTGTTTATTTTCAACCCTGACACTTCTCTAAATTCTTCTATTTTCTCCATAAGCTTAACGCTTGTTTCAAGCAGTTCTTCTAATATGAAAACCAAGTCATCTGGAAATGCTTGTAGTTTGTATTTTTCATCTTTTATCTCCAGTCCTTTAATTTCTATATCTTGCCTGATATTTCTATTCAATATTTCAGTGTTAATATAAATAATAGTGGAGATAAGTGGACATCCCTGTCTTGTGCCTTTTTTAACGTCAAAGTTTTCTGTAAGATCTCCATTTACAATTATTTTAGCTGTTTGTTTATGATAAACTGTTTTGATTATGTTTGTAAAATCCATTTCCTCTAGTTGCTGGAACATAAATTGCCAGTTTACGTTGTCGAACGCTTTCTGTGCATCTAGAAATATTAAAGCCATCTGTTTCCCTGGATGAATTTCATAGTACTCTAAAACATCTAGGATCGTTCTAAAGTTATTTTTATCTGCCTTTCAGGTAGAAAGCCATTTTGGTCTGTATGTATAAATTCGGTCAGAAACTTCTTTAGTCTTTCTGCTATTAATCGAAGCGAAAATTTTATATACATTTAATAACGATATTGGTCTGTAGTTTTTTATTTGCGTCAAGTCAGAATCTTCTTTGGGTATTAAGGTAATGTTAACTTCAGTCCATGTATTTGGTATTTTAGCCTCCAAACGTATTTCATTACACAGTTCTTTCAATATTGGGCTTAGTATAGATAGATAGATAGATAGATAATTTAATTTGTATACCGCCCTTCTCCCATAGGACTCAGGGCGGTTCACAGCATATTAAAAACAAATAATATACACAAAATACAAAAAATGCAAAATACAAAAATACAGAAATACAAAAAAAAATAAACCCCGATAAAAGCCGAATTAAAACCAAATATTACCAGCTGTGTTTCCAATTAAAATACTTTTAAAATTATCCCTACCTAAAATCCTCCCTAGGTCAGGCCCGCTTGCTGGAAAAACCATGTCTTGAGGGCGCGGCGGAAAGTAAGGAGATCCGGAATCATCCGGATCTCGGGGGGTAGTTCATTCC